GAAAAAAAAAAAAAAAAAAGAGGAATGATATATCAATTTGTTGCATGCTTGTGCACATTAGCTGTGAAGGCTTTTTATTTTTATTACAGACTGCAGTTTATGTTAGTCGATAAGTAAAGGTTACCGGTTGATGATATTAGTGAACATATATGAAATTTTGTTTGGAAAAAGAATTAAGGGGATTATGGAAATACCATTGGTATCCATTGCAGAACATATGTGCTAAGTCTTGGTTCAAAGCTGTTTGCTGATAAAAGATGATATATTCATAATCTGAAAGAAAAAACAATTATTCAAAAAATAAGTCATAATCCCACTACTCATTTTGCTGAAAAATATAAATGTTTATTTGTAATCTTCCTATATCTGTAATTTCTTTGTAATGTGTAGTAAGTATGTTATAATATATAATTATCTCTTAAACTTTTATTTGCTACTTACAGAGCAGAGGAGCTCGAAACAGCATTAATGGAGATGGTGGAGCATGATAATCGCAAGCAACTGAGTGCACGGGTAATTTAGGAGTCGAATATCTTTCTCGTTTGTTCAAATTTTTTTCCTTTTAAAACTTTTCAACCTAATGGCAAAGTTAATGGATTTAGGTTGGGCAATTGGAGCGTGAGGTCTCTGAACTTCGACAAGCACTTCTATGCAAGCATGAGCAAGAGAATGCAATGCTTATGGTAAAATTATTGCCTTCAAATTCCTTTTTTTTTTTTTTTTTTTTCTTTCAATTTTCCACTTATGATTTTTGTTTTTGGGCAATATAATTTTTGGCACTACTGCTTTTTCCTTTTACAGATGTTAATGAGGGCAGAACAAGAACAGAAGGCAACTGAGGATGCCCCCCTATCTGACGAGCAGGATGCTGCTGCCCAGAAATACGCAGCTCAAGTATTTCAGATTTTTTTTTTTTTTCAGTGTCTCGTTTTTGTAAAAACATTTGCTTGCAGAGGAAGTGATTTATAATAGTAGAAGCTAAAAGCCATTGAAAACTCATAGGTTTAGAGAAGCTCAAAGTATCTGTAAAAGTAGACGAGAATAGAGCATAACCTCGAAATCGACATTTCCTCTTTATGCTCGCCCAATAATAAGCGACATGTAACCAGGCGTGAAGCCTAATTTTGAAAATTTTATTTCCCTTACAAGATTTCAAAAAGAATATATATATATCAGCTACTGGTTTACTCTTTAGTGTTCGGCTCTTCCTAAACCGAACTACAGGAATTCATCGTTTTAAAATGAAGTGGATAGAAGAGATTTTTATGGTTTAAATTTTATGATATGGCTTTCTTTGTAGTTGTAGTTCTTTATTCGGTTACGTGCCATACTGTTGCTAGGTAAAGTGTGAAAAAGAAAATGCTGCGCTAATCGAGATGGAAAACCGGGCAGTTATGGCTGAGTCAATGCTGGAAGCTACGTTGCAATATCAGTCGGTACAATACAAAGCGCTTCATTCTCCCCGGTAATGCTCTTGTTTGTTTGAAATATATTTATAGGATAAATTACCAAAATGATGCTAAGGTTTAGCGTAAAAATACAAAAATACAATAACCACTATTTTTTGTTTTCTGATGTTTTGCCTTACACAAGTTTGATGATGCCATCAAATATCTTACAAACACAAACATTTCAAAATATTACAAATGCCACTTCTTATCGATATGTAAATGGATCTGTGCCAATGTACAAAGGCAAATGGTGTGATTGTAGGAAAATTTGATCACTTAAAGAAACTTTCTTCACCTCAGTAATGGTAGATGACGGGCATTAGCTCGATGGTCGTTTTTGTAGTTTTAAAATAGGCTTTAATTTTTTACCCCTCTTTTCATTTTCCCTTTTCTTAATACCCCAAAAATTGCAAAATTTCAAATTTCACTAATAAGAATTATCATAATATCCTCAAAATATAAAATCCGTTATTATTTTAATGAAAAATTGTTGCAATAAATTTGCAGAAATTAATAAAATGCTCGAATTCAATTCCAAAAATGCAGATTTTACTGATTCACTTCCAAAAAAATGCTAGAAATATATACATTACCGAAAGGTGGCTAATTTTTCTGATTTTACTGACACTAAATTTTGCATGATTTCCATTTTCACGAATCCCGTTTGCTCATCACTCATTTGCTCGTAACAGAGAAATCGGTATTTCCTCCAGTACAGAAAGAGAGGGTAAATGACGATTACTGATAAAGATAAAGCCAATTTCGTCATTTTTTTCTGAAAGAAGAAGAAATATGTGAATGCAGCAAGGAAATCAGATGATGGGGAATCTCTGAAAGAGGGTACTTTCTGCTTCAGGAGCTTCACACAGTTATGATCGATTCTCATTTAGTTCATTATTACGAGAAATGGAAAACTCGATCATTTGTTTGTTTGTTTGTTTGTTTGTTTGTTTTTCAAGCTATTTATTATTAATAGCTCGGCGATAGAAGTATTAGAAGAGATACATATCAGGTTTAGACGAATTCGTGATATTGAAAAAAAAAAAAGAAAGAAAGAAAATTCTGTAATCCCTGACTTTGTACTGCAACATCTGTGTAAAGTGTGATAGACATGAGAATATTTATCATCTTTCTTACCTATTTCAATGTAATACATTTGACTGTAATTACATATACTTAACATTTCAAAATGATGATTGCCTAACATTTAATCAGTTTAAACAAATTTTTTATTTAATTAAATTTGAAAATGGATAGCTGTTGGGTAAAATTCTATCAACCTTAACAGGTTTTTGCCCTTTGTGAAAATTGCAACAGAAAGATGAAGTTGAAACAACCTCTACGAACCAACCACTCTGTAACATAAAAGTTGAGCATCTGAATATAAATTACAAAATATGTCTGCAACAGACCATTAAAACATCACCTTACCAAAGATTATTACAAATAATTTAAGAAAAAAAAAAAAAATGGTACTAAAATCACAGTACAGTGTCTTAAACATCCCATTCTGTATGAACAAAACTCTACATGCAGAAGCCCCTCATTCGAACTCTCATGTGTCGAAAGGCTATAAGGATTACATAAGCAAGAACAAATGATAATAACGAAGAATAGGAGATAATAACCCTAAACGACCTACGATGCACAGAACATTCACAAAGAATTAACATGAACCAAACTCTTTTTTTTTCCCTTTGCATTTTTCTATTTTCTTTTTTAACAAATGGAGCAAGAAATACGACACCTTTAAGACAAATCTTCACGACAGTTGCTAAGCTCATGCTGTCCCTTTAAGACAAGACCAGAAAACATCCTTAAAATGCACTCACGCGTAACTCAGTCCAAAGATTACTTTTTTCTTTTATTTTTCATCACCCCCGTTTTTTTTCTTCTCTTCTCCCTTTTCTGTAGCTAAGGTTACCTCAGCTCCCACCGCATTGTTGGAGTGGACGGGCCCGAACTGGGCTTTTTGGCTGGCTGTTGGGCCTCCGGGTCGAATTTCTGGGAAGCAAGATAAGTGAGGGCTGTGACCACATCTGCAATTAGAGGCCGCATATTGGGCTGTTCTTGCACGCACATTGCAGCCACAGCAAGTGCTTGATAGAGTCCACGAGACGGGTATTGGCCTTGGAGCGTAGGGTCTGCCATCTGAGAAAATTTTCGGCGGTCTTTGAATAATGGTCGAGCCTGCGGCGAATAAGGCAGCACTAAAAGGTGACATTTTGCCTTTTTTTTTTTTTTTGAGTAAACCATACATTTAAAGAAAACAGTAAATTTATGCACAAAAATAGAAAGTAGACTGGAGCATAAATTTGAGGATGTTTTTTACATTTCTGTTTCAGTTTTTATTTAAAAGAAAATATATATACGTGTTAGAATCTTAAATTGATAATTCAAATATTTTGGGTCACAAATCGATTGATTTTGTCGTTCAAAGCCCGAATTGGTAGTTGACACATCATTCGAGCCTCAGACTGAGAGAAAGTAAAGCCTTAAATCGACTTTCATGCCTCGAATTGATAGATAACCAATCCTTTGAAACTAAAATTGACAAAAGTTTTGCATATTATAAATATGTCACAAACCTTTCTTCTTAAATTTTTTTCCAGAAAGCTAAATACACCATAAGAATAATATCAACAAAGGAAAAAAATATAAATACAATACAACATTAATCTTACCCATGCAACAAGATTGTGCTCCCCAGCAGCTCTTGAATTATCAATAGCCTTTCTGCCAGTGATAATCTCCAAAAGGACAACTCCAAAACTGTAAACATCCGACTTCAACGTGAGCTGGCCAGTCATTGCATATTCAGGTGCACAATATCCATAGGTCCCCATCACTCGAGTAGATACGTGTGTTTTATCACCAACAGGACCTAATTTGGCCAAACCGAAATCCGAAAGCTTGGGATGGTACCCCTCGTCTAATAAAATATTGGAGCACTTTAAATCCCGATAAATAACTGGCGGGTTTGCCTTATCATGCAAATACTCTAGTCCCTTTGCTGCCCCTGCAGCTATTTTCATCCTCGTGTTCCAGTCGAGCCTCTTTTTGTCAGACGGAAGGTCTGGAAAATGCAAGAACATTTCTATCAACCATTATCTTATTTCTTTCTTTCTTTCTTTCTTTTTTTTTTCTTTTCTGATACATTGAAAATTAAACTAAAACAATAATAATCTATAATGCATTCAAAAATTATGCCATATAACAAACCAGGTAACTTTCGATGATCAATACATAAAAGGTGTCTAGTATATGGTCGAATTTTTGCATAGTAACAGCAGAAGAACGTCAAATTTTATAGACTTGATTAATTAATAGCCTTAGATACATACAAATTCCAGTATATTCCAACTTGTGATGATGTGTTAAATTGATTGTTAATTTACAAGATAATACATGTACGGTGATTTATATAAATGTCATACATTAAATAAAGCGTCTAAAAAATGAGTACACTTATATTTACTCTGAGAAGGTTCTTTAGGAAATGACTCATTTGTCATGTGTTTCTTGCTAGCATATGTCACCTTATATTCAAAAATATATTGATGTTTGAACAATGAAATACTTCTGTAAAGTTAAATAAGATACATGGAACAGAATGGTACATTGAATAATGTTTACACATAGAAATGACACAAACAATGTATGCATTATGCAAATAATAATGTATAGACAATGGAGAAATTAATAAGTTACTAAATAATCTACAAATAGTACGATACCATGCAAATGGTCTTCCAAAGATCCTAATGGCATGTATTCGTACACCAAAAGTCTCTGATCTCCATCAGCACAATACCCGATCAAGTTGACCAAGTTCGGATGGTGAAGCAAACTTAGCATTAAAACTTCAACTAAAAATTCCCGGTTCCCTTGCAAACCATTTCGATCAAGCTGCTTTATAGCCACAACCTATAGAAAATCAGATAATAGGATGTATGAAAATTGAGTTTGCTAAGATGTATCCTTATTCGAAAGTAAAACAATCGTATGCATGAAATATCACTTCAGGACATAAAATCAAAACTTGCTACGCATTTTCCGAGAAGACCAGTTCAGAACTTCCTTTTCTCAACAAAAACCAAGATTTCCAGTCTCGCTTTTGTTTCTTCAAAAAATGAGCTCAAATTCACATTCATGTTTTAAAAAACGTAACATAACAAACCTGATTAGTGCTCTCCAATCGTCCTTTATACACTCTTCCGAATCCACCTTCACCCAGAAGACATTCTGCCCTAAAATTCTTAGTAGCCATAGCCAATTCACGAAAGGTAAACGTGTGTGCAGCAATGTGTCTCGATCCTCCATCTTTTGAAGCTTCCTTCTGTAAGTCAAATGAAGGATTTGCCTTCAGCTTTTCTGCCATGACGAGGTAAAGCATATCAATATTACTAAACTGAAATATATAAACTCACATACTAGCATTATGAAGAAAAACTGTGACACAGAAAAGAGAGAAAGTAGGCTAGCTATATTTTAATGTTAAGCACATCTAGCTCAAGTCTTCAATTGAATTTTACTTCAAGTCTTCAAGCGGACACCAAGTAACTTGTAGGATAAACGGTGACTAGCACCAACAAAATGCCGAAAGCATAGGCAATAAGTTACCTAAAAAATGTTTCATCTTTACAGGGAAAAGTGAAAACTTTGTGACAAGCATAATATGAAGAGCTCTAAATTCACCCAAACCTTGTCTTGGAGTAGAACATAATGCCACACTAGAAAAAGTATAAATAAAAGTTCTATTCATACATTATTCATAACACATGTTCAAACAGACACATGCATTAAGCATTTGCACCACATTAACTGGGATAAAGTAAATTAACACACACCATAACAATCCAACCTTCGATGGAAACAACCCATTTACCTCCTAAATGAGTTAACGAATATGCAGAAAAAAGGTAAANAAAAAAAAAAACAAAAAAAAAAACACAAGTTTGTCTTAAAAAATGTGTGTATTTAAACACACAAAATGATAAATGAGGGTCAGAGCACAG